AGAATAAAATAAATAAATTAAAAGAATAAAATAAATAAATTAAAAGAATTTTAAAAAAGGTAACCCTCTCCAAACTCAATTGCAGAAAATATGACTTCAGCAACAAAGTGGTCAATGCCTGAAATGCACTACCTGACTCTGTTGTTACATCCTCTAACCCCCATAACTTTAACTTTAAACTGTCTAGCGTGGACCTCACCCCTTCCCTAAGATGTCTGTAAAGGGGGCGTGCATAAACGCACCAGCATGCCAACTGTCCCTGTCCTATTGTCCCCATTTATTCGTACCCATTTTCTGTGTTCATGTCCATGTTTATACTGTTATCTTGTACATGTTTGACAAACTAACTAACTAAATAAATAAATAAATTATTTTTTATTTTAAGAGGAAGCCTAGAACCTAAGTTTCTTTGACCCAGAAGCATTCTTATTCAGAGTTCAGATTTTTGGAAGATGGAAAAAGCAACAAGAAAATTATGCTGCATTTCCATTTTTTTAAAAAAGTAATTTCTTTCACTTACCGTAGGCGTATTTCATCTGACAAAAATTGCTGACGCTTCCTAGGATCCTCTCTTTGCACACACACTTTTCTAGCCAGGAAATCATAAACCAATGTGTCAAATAAGATTGCATAAAAAAAGAAGAAGAGGAGGAAGAAGAAGGGAGAGGGAGAAACCAGTCACTCCAATTTTCATAAATGCTTGCAATAAATTAATACTTAGGAAACAGCTGTAGAGTGTTACGTTCCCAAGCTGAGATATTGTGTAAATGTTTCAAGTTGTATAAAAAATAATTAAACGTAAGCATTGACTTTCTCCAATCTGTTTAAATTGTATCGGCTAAAAGAGTGTAGAATAATGGATTATAAATGCCCCCCCCCTCCCATTTTGGAGAACTTTCTCCCAAAATGATTCTTTTTAATTGATATTTTTATACAATTAATAAGATTACACACACACACACACACACAACCACACATGACATTTGGGGATTCCATCAGTTTTTAAAGATGTTAGGTGTTAGACCTGGAAGCCATCCTTTTCCTTTTTGGATTTTGTTGGGGGTGTTTCTTGGAACCCTGACATTAAGCAATATATAGAATATAGAATAGAATATTCTTTATTGGCCAAGTGTGATTGGACACACAAGGAATTTGTCTCCTGTGCATAAGCTCTCAGTGTACATGCAAGCAACAAGTGATAAATCATAAGATACAATCATAGATCGCAAGATGCAACCAACAAAGTGATAGTCATAAGATAGGAACAGGTAATAGGAAAGTCGATAAGGATAATAGTAATACTGTCCTATTACATGTTAGACATAAGTCAGTGCAGTGGGAATTATGTGTTTAGCAGAGTGATGGCATGGGAGGGCGGGGACTGTCTTTGTGTCTTGTTGTTTTGATATGCAATGCTCTATAGCGGCATCCTGAGGGAAGAAGTTGAAACTGTTTATGTCCAGGATGTGAGGGGTAAGTAGATATTCTCGGCCCTCTTTCTGGCTCGTATAATATACAGGTCCTCAATCAGAGGTGGTATTCAGCAGGTTCTGACCAGTTCTGGAGAACCGGTAGTGGAAATTTTGAATAGTTCAGAGAACCGGTAAATACCACTTCTGACTGGCCCCATCCTATTCTCTGCCTCCTGAGTCCCAGCTGATCGGGAGGAAATGGGGATTTTTGCAATAACCTTCCCCTGGAGTGGGGTGGGAATAAAGATTTTACAGTATCTTTCCCCTGCCACGCCCACCAAGCCACGCTCACCAACCCAAGCCACATCCATCAAGCCACGCCCACCAAGCCATTCCACATCCACCATTCCACGTCCACAGAACTGGTAGTAAATTTTTTTTGAATCCCACCACTGTCCTCAATGAAAGACAGGCTGGTTGCAATCGTTTTTTCTGCAGTCTTAACTATCCATTGAAGTCTGTGCCTGTCCTGTTTAGTTGCTGTATCAAAATCAGACAGTTATAAAAGTACAAATGACAGACTCAATAATTTCTCTGTAGAACTGTATCAGCAGCTTCTTCAGTATTCGATAAAGAATATGCTGCCATAAAAGTTCCTTTTTAGTTTGATCTAAACTTTTGTACTTTTTAGTCAATGCTTTGTAAGTCATATGATAAATATTTCTAAATAATCCAAAATGTTCTCAACCCTTACCAACATTGTAATTTGTCTCAGTCTATTTATTGGGGATTGGGGGGGGGGGAGAAGTGGAGCAGAAATCATACCTGGATATCTTAAAGCTGAAAAACCCTGCTTGCGATCGTTCCATTGCCATTCATTTTCGCTTTCGTTGGCTGGGGTTTGGAGGAAGTGAGGAATCCTCCCACCAATAGGAATATTAAAAAAAGCTGAATTGTCATAGCTGGAAAGAGAAGAGCAGACAGACAAGAACAGAATGAGATTAAAAAACGTTTTATTTAGCCATCTGTTTAATCTGTTTCAATAATACAGAAGTAAGGCCAATGAGCCAATTAAACATGGAACGTTTAACCAACTGTTAGCAGTTGCTACCCAAACAGATACAATGCTTCTTGGGGAAAAAATTGTTCCATTTCTAACTGCCTGGAAGCTTTGCTGATCCATTGGGGCCTTCTAAGGGCACTGCCTAGAAAACTGAAATAAACTAGGACCAAGACCTTCTCTGTGGTAATCCCAGTGCTATGGAATCTCATTTCCTTCACCCTCTTTCTATTTATTTTAAAAACAATTTGAAAACTTTTTAAAATATATATATATAATTTTCTTTCTGATGTATATTTTATGTTAGGCACTGAAGGCCACTCTAAGAATCAAATATAATGGTTTATTTATCTTATCGATCTCACGAAGCTCCACTAATTAATCCCACAGATGGCTGTAAAGGTATTCCTTAATTTAGGCAATGGAGCCAATCCGATGCCATTTTGGGCCTGGCCAAGGAAAGCATTAGAGAAGTGATAGGGTCCTTTCATAGTGATTGCCTAAAGGTTTCCTTAGGCCAAAGCTCCCCAATCTTTCCGGCTTTGCGGACCAGCGGGGTGGGGAAGGGGGGAGGAGAGAGGGGATGCTTCTGTGCGAGCAGTGGAAAAGTGTGTATGCATGTTCAGGTCACGGATGGGTTGCTGCTCGTTTTACTACTATTTGGCAAATCCCTGCGCGTTCATGCAGTGTTCAATGTAAATTGTTCTGTGTGCATGTGCAGAACAATTTACAGTAAACTGTGCATGCTCAGTCACTAAAATCCAAAATGGTGACAGCCGAGCGGCAGCGAGGGAATCAGTTCGGGGGCATGTCAGGCTTGAGTTGCTGCTTTTCTGCTACCAAACCGGGCCGAACCGGGTTCACTTGCACAAGTGGTGAGGATGTGCACCAGCCACTCCCATAAATGGAGAGTATGCACATCAGCTCACCCACAGCTAATGAAAGTGGGGATGTGTGCGCATGCACATCACTACCACGGCCCCGTAATGGGCCATGGCCCGGGGGTTGGGGACCTCTGCTCTAGGCAATATCTTATCAGTTGAACTGCCTATGCTTGATAGCCTGTTGTGTTTAAAATGAAAGGACCAATTCCAATTCCAAAGGTCCTTTCCCAAAAGGCAACAGGACTTTGTTTTTTTTTAAAGTGTTTTGCTTCTCATCCAAGAAGCTTCTTCAATTCATTTCAGAACTGAAGAAGCTTCTTGGATGAAAAGTAAAACATTTTCAAAGAAAAAACAAAACAAAAGAAAGTCCAGTTGCCTTTTGGAAAAAATATCTTTGGGATAACCATGAACTGGATGATCGAGACTCTCCATAGACATTTAAAATGACAAGTAAATCTTTGGGTGGCCTAGGGGCTCCTGCCAGCAAGAGGAAATACTAGCAGGAGCAAGGGCAGGATTTGGGGGAAGCAGAAAGAACCAGTTCCAGGTGGAGGCCAAGCAGGATGGGGAAAGCCAAAATGTGTTTTCCTGGGGATCCTTCCCAAGAACTCTCTTAAGTTCCCAAATTCCCTCTGCTTCCACTGCAGAGAGCTGGTTTACCTGGGGAGACATTCTCCAGTATGCTTGTTACAGTCTCTAGCACAGGCACAGGGCTGGCAGCCATTTTCTCCAAAGCCCCAATACCCCAATAGACACCAGTCACATTTGGGTCCTGCAACACCTGGCTTGCAGTAGCAGAAGCCTGTCTTTGGATGACATTTCTGGCCTTGGTTCAGCGTTATATTCAGTGAGCCCATGGGATGGCAGGAGCAAGCTGGAACAGAAAGCAGAAAATAATAGACCTTATGGGGTTTTTCCCCTTGAAAACTTTCAAGTAAGGGCTCTAGGCCAGGAAGTGGTTAAGTCAACTGAGTTTTAAACTTATGTTGCAATGCTGGTGTGACTATTTATTGCTGTGTAGTCCTGTAATTAGGATGAAATATCATTAGGTTTTCTATACCAAATATTGACCAGATACAGCTGTTACTGATGAATCTCTGCCTGCATTTCCTCTTATACATCTGAAAATTCAGAGAATGTGAAAGTTGAAGGATAATTGTATTCTGATTCCTGAAATATGTCAGGAAATATGAATAGGTCAGTTCTGTTTAAATGGAAACCAAATGTCTGTCTCTATCGCTAGCCATAAATAACATGCTCACGAAGTATTTGGATTTCGGTAGGGACTGAACCTTCTGCCTGTTTACTCTTCTGCCTGCTTCTTTAAGATTTTTGATTGCTTTCCTATCCCTTGCATTTTTAGATTTGATTTTACAAATTAAATGTTCTAAACTGGCCAAACTGGGAGATGGTAAGCCTAAGCTACAATCCTGTGGAGGTGAATGGAATAAGAGCCGAGGTGGCACAGTGGTTAAATGCAGCACTGCAGGCTACTTCAGCTGACTGCAGTTCTGCAGTTCGGCTGTTCAAATCCCACCAGGCTCAAGGTTGAC